CATTCCTTCATTGGTCTCCTTAACTTATTAATGATTAAAAATATATTCGTTCGCGCGAAATCCCAAAGATTGTCAAGGGCGGGATTGTGCATAGGGATTGTGTGAGACATAGTTCCTTTTGGCATAAATTCGTCCAATGATGACGCGTCACAAGGTGTCTACTTGTCCGTAAAATCCGGAAATAGTACTGATTTATTAAGGGCGGAGCAGAAATACTGAAAGAGTATAGAAATTCCCTTTGAAAGTCGGGAATTTCTTGTTTCATGCAACGGGTGTTTTTGAAACAGCCTGGAAAACATGCAATCCGTTGCGCAATGATTCTCAGTTCAGTATTTTCCCGTTAGGTCGAGATTGTAAAGCCAGCTGATTCTCAGGCCGCCAATGAGCTTCGAATTTCCTGGCCACGTCATTTTTCTTGCGATTTGCGCGTGAATTTCGACAATTTTCGAATTTCGTCTCTTAAACGTATCAAAAAAGCACTGAATTTCTCTGTTGATGATGTACTGAATTTTTTGGAAGGGTACTGAATAAGTACTGTAAAAGTATTGAATATTTGACAGCCAGTTTTAATAGATAATTTATGCGACGCAAGAATCCCGATATGGAAAGTTGGCAGTTTCGAAAACGCCTTCAATTGTGGCGTGATAACTCACGCATTCCGGAGAGTACGAATAGTTGTATCATTGCACCTGAACAATGAGATCGAAGATTAATATTGAAGTAGCCTCCACGCTGGCACCGTCGGTTTTCCTTTGCCGCTATTACAGTTTTGACCGCATAGTTTAAGTTCTTTCAAGGTAGGATTGTATCAAGTGAAAAGATAATTTTTTATAGAAGAATTAAAAATAAACAAGTGGTAAGAAATATAACCAAATCAAAGGAACTCGAATCAACAATGTAGTACAAGAAAGCATCGTTAAAAATGTCCATGAAAAACTTGAATGGAACGAAACCACACCCGAAAAAATTACACACTTATTATCAACCAGAGCAAAAGTCATAAACAAATAATTAAACAAAGGATATGTGCGCGTTACTGTTGCACCAGCTTGTAAAATCTGTCATTCCATTTATATCGAATCCCCGTATTGAAAGTTTGCAGTTTCCAGAAGCGCCTTCAATTTCCGGATGATACCATTCGCAATCAAGAGAGTACGAATAGTTGCATCGTTGCGCCTAAGTAATGCGATCGAAGATTCACAATGAAGTAGCCTTCACGCAGGCATTGTCAGTTTTCCTTCACCGCTATTGCCAGTTTCGACTGCAAAGTTTAAGTGTACTTAAGCTAGAGTTGTTATTAATAAGTTTTACGGAAGAGCAAACAATAAATAAGCGGTAAATAATGTGACGAAATAAAGGAAATTAAATCAACGATAAAATGAAAAAATCCCGTAGTAAAACATGTGAATGAAACACTCAAAATGGAAGAAAAATCATCCGAGAAAATTTCACACTTATTACAAACAAGAACGAAGCTTTCATTAAAAAAATGAATTACTACGAATTTGCATAATTGTTGCACTAGCTCGTAAAATCAATCATTCCATTTATCTCGTGCTCTGAATTTTATGCGACGCGAGAATCCCCGTATGGAAAGTTTGCCGTTTCCAAAAGCTCCTTCAATTGTGGCGTGATACCTTACGCATTCCGGAGAGTACGTAGAGTTGTATCACTGCGCCTGAACAATGCGATCGAAGATTAATATTGAAGTAGCCTCCACGCTGGCCTCTACCTGTCGGTTTTCCTTTGCTGCTATTGCAGTTTTGAACGCATAGTTTAAGTGTGCTTAAGTTAGAATTGGCTTAAATAATTTTTACGGAAGAACTAGCAATAAATAAGCTGTGAAAAATACAACGAAATGAAAGGAACTTTTATCAAGAATAAATTACAAGAAATCATAGTAAATCATGGAACGGAAACACATCCGAGAAAATTACACACTAATCATAAATAATGTAGAAAGTTCCTTATAATTAATAAATTAAAACGAGGAGGTGTGCGCACTGAGTAAGTGTCGCACTAACTGTTAAGATCAGTCATTCCATTTATCTCATGCTCCGAATTTTACTAGAACTAAATGAAAGGAACTTAAATCATGAAAAAACTACAAGAAATCCCAGTAAATTGTGTGTATGAAAAGCTCGAATTGAAAGAAAACACATCCGAGAAAATTACACACTGATCATAAATAAGATAAAAAGTTCCTTATAAATAATAAATTAAAACGAGGAGGTGTGCGCACGGTGTCACCGTCGCACTAGCTCGTATGATCAGTCATTCCATTTATCTCATGCTCCGAATTTTATGCAACGCGAGAATCCCCGTATGGAAAGTTTGCCGTTTCCAAAAGCGCCTTCAATTATGCCGTGATACTTTACGCATTCCGGAGAGTACGTAGAGTTGTATCACTGCGCCTGAGCAATGCGATTGAAGATTAATATTGAAGTAGCCTCCACGCTGTCCTCTACTTGTCGGTTTTCCTTTGCCGCTATAGCAGTTTTGAACACATAGTTTAAGTGTGCTTAGGCTAGAATTGTTTTTAATAATTTTTACGGAAGAACTAACAATGAATAAGCCGTGAAAAATATAACTAAATAAAAGGAACATAAATCAAGAATAAATTACAAGAAATCCCAGTAAATCATGGAACGGAAATACATCCGAGAAAATTACACAGTCATCATAAATAAGATAGAAAGCTCCTTATATATAATAAATCAAAACGAGGAGCTTTGCGCACTGAGTAACTGTCGCACTGGCTCATAAGATCAGTCATTCCATGTATCTCATGCTCCGAATTTTTAACGACGCGAGAATCCCCGAATGAAAGTTCGCCGTTTCCAAAAGCGCCTTCTATCCTTGCCTGTGTCGCTCACTTAACTCTTGAAGCAGCATCACAAGTAAGACAAACGGAAACAAACATACAATATGAAAAGAGAGCGCAGAAAAAGATTTGCGTTCATGACGGCGCAGAGATACAACTATTTGTACTTGATGGATGTCTGCGTTGCGTCTACAAAATTGAAGGCGGTATGGTGCAAGACATGAACGTGCGATGCTCAGATGCATGATCAGGTGTCATGGGAGTCGAACGATAAGTTGAAAAACGAGGCCCGATTACGTCTCTCCTGTCCTTGCCGGTGTCGCTCACTTAACCCTTGAAGCACCATCACAAGTAAGATAAACGGAAACAAACATACAATATGAAAAGAGAGCACAAAAAAAGATTTGCGTTCATAACGGCGCAGCGATACAACTATTCGTACTTGATGGATGTCCGCGTTGCGTCTGCAAAATTGAAGGCGTGAACTAGACTAAGTACCTGCTCAACGGCAGGAAGAAGTCGCACTGATTGGTTGATATCTCCCGCCAATTTCTGATATAAATCGGATGATATCGAATAATTTTACATCTTATGGATAGTTATATGACTTTTCTCCCGGGCAGGGGCAATAAAACACTCTTGAATTAAAAACTTCTAGACCTGGAAAAATAGATTTTCAGGAATTTTCTCCCAAGTTTTTTTAAGCCTCCCTACAAAGAATTATTCTGGACTCAAGTTCCTATTTTATTTTATTGTGCCTGAGACATTATTTTATCAAACATGCTTAAATAGCGGACAGCAGTGCCGAGACGCGTAGTTTTTGGTCAATTTCCCTGCGCTACTCACTATTTTAAGGTTTTCCGGAGAGGAATTTCTCTCGTCTGATGGAAGACGAAATCGACGGTGAGACAACCAAACCACGTATTTCGGTTTGCGACGTTGCGGACTTCCTGTCATACTTTTCTCCAAATATGGGAAACTGCTCAACGTCAATTCTCGATAACTTCCGAGGTTTTTTCCCTGTGCAAAGAAAACTCCGTGAAAACTTCAAGGGATGGTACTGACTTGTTCTCCTTCGGATGAATGAAATGGAAGCGGAGATTTTTCAACACCGCAAACGAGATACGTAGTCTGGTAGTTTCACCGTCAAAAAGAGACTCATCACCCAATGATCTCATCTTAAAATTTTGGAAAATTGTCTTTTGAGGATTCCAAGGAATGCATGTTTCTTCTAGAGTTATTTCACCGCAAGAAATAACCCACGTGATGTTCCACCTGAGCTGTTTTAGTTGTTCGAAAAAATTGATGAGAACAGTCTAGAAATCAGAGAGGATTACTTCCCCGTCGCTGAAATCAGGGGGTACCACGTGACCCTTCGTTGCAGTTGCAATTTTTCTCTTATTCTCTCCAACTGCTGCATACAGCTTCTGTTGTGTTGCTAAAAAAAAAAAAACAGTCCTATTGCCAGATCCAAAAAATGTATAAAAACTTGAATTCTGATTTATTTGATCGTATTTCTGACTGCTGATTTACTTGGCCGTTTCCTGAAATCGATGTTGATGTTAATCGATGAAAAATTGGAAAATATTGCATATTTCTCAGTCCTTTCTCAGATAAAACCTTTCTATTAAGTCCTTATATTAGGAGAAAAGAGGTGGAACTGTAGTGTAATCAGAACTCTTTCGTTACCTAATGAGAGTATTGTTTTCACTCTGCTATCAGGATGAAGCCCTTTGTAATTGACATCATCATTTACCGAAAAAACAACAATGGAAACGTAAATCAGAAGGTAAAAGAACTGATGATCTAAAACATGACTATATTTTGGTTAGGGCAGCAGAAAAGACGACTAATTCTAAAATTTTGATCCTTGGTTTAGACCGATTGGTTAAAATTATCTTTATTGGCCCGATACATCAGATTCATGATCAATTATTCAATTTACTAATTTTAGGATCTCAAGTGTTCGTTCTGCACCACAAAAGACATTCAGAAAACAACTCTCTCACAAAAAGCATGCTTTGAACTAATTCAATTTCCTATTTAAAAAAGCTGACAATTTAACAGAATAAACAAATCTATGCCAAATATTTAGTTCTGACATCGACTTTGTTTTCAATGTTTATAAGAATGATAGTAAAAAAAGGATGGATGTAAAAAAAAAATCAACAAGAAATTAATTGATGATGTTTACTTGTCTCATAATTACTCAATTACAGAGCTAAAGTACAAAATAAATAAAATTGATTTTTTATCACAATTACCAACAATAAAATTTTGCAAACATTGAAGCAAGTTCTGAGTACAATCAGTTAATAATGTTCAGGAAGACAGAGAGAGAGGAGCTTCACCTCCAACAAACATTTTTTACATCACACCAAGTAAAAATATATCTAATTTGATGGCTGAGAAATTAGACAGAGAAAGAATGGAGGAGAGAGAAAGAAATCGACAATGTTTGCTCAAGAGGTTCACAAAATAAAGTTGTTGGATAAAACTAAGAATTCGATCATTAATAAATTAAGAGAAATCTTTAGAAATATACTTTAACTCCTAGAAATAATAAAATAAATAGGTACATACAACAAATTGGCGATTGCCAGATAAAGTTTACGAACAAAGGAAATCGACTATGTACAATGTGCGCAAAAAAGGAATCGACTAAAAATACCTAGTTTAAGCACGAAGAAAATCGATTTGCTGAAAACAACTGTACAAATACATATTTACAAAGTTTAAAACTGTACAAAGTTCTGATCTGACAAGAAATATTGTCAAATCCTATTATACGAAACAACTTTGAAAAACAAATCCACGGAGTATCTTATGCATTCCATTTCTTTGGAGTATCCAAATAAATAAAATAACTAGGCCCTAGCTTCAACAATCCAAAAAAAATTTCAAATGAATTGTTTTCAAGCTGAGAGTCATTTTTTCTCTTTTTTTCCTGTAAATTTATTGAGCTGAGTCTAGAACCAAAACTACGGATAACTTTACTAAAATTTGTCTAAGACTCGAAAACTTTTATTACGATTCTTTGAAAAAACGCTGGTTGCTTTAAATGAGATTCTAACTGTCAGATAATATTTAGGAAGGAATTCTGCTGGAATTTGTGGAGAAAATACAGACTCCAGTTAATTTCTTACATCAGTATGACACTTCAAATTGTCTGGCACACAACAGTTGAGCATTAGATGAGTCAACTTACTTATTAAATAGACTTTACTTATCACTGATTTTTAGATTCCTTATTTCTTAAATCGTAGACAAGGAACTTGACTCACAGTAAGTACATATGTACTCGTTACTGTCTTGATGCAAATTACAAAATGAAGATTAAATTAGTTTTACTTCAGAATAGAGTAAAGGTGCAATCGATAAAGTACTATTTTTTGCTAAGCAGGAGTGGAGGAATAAAAATAATTAAAGATGGCTATTAAGTATTTGCAAAATATGCATCACTGCACAACTTAAAATTTAAAGATAAGAACTGAATTGCAGTTGGCACTTCCTGAGGGTCTTGAGTCAGCTTCGGACTGTCTTAAAAAACAGAACGAGCCCCTCACAAGAGCAAGGTACAGATAAAAAAATCCCTAATAAAATGAAGAAATAAAAAAAAAATGGATGATACAAGTTTTGATACACTAAGATAGAAATAGTTTCCTTGAACTGATCTCTTAAGAAGAGACGCGAAAAAGTTAGATGTAGACCGATGTGTGATTAGCACATGAGTGAGGATATTCTCTATCACAGAGATGGGGTCTGAGAAAATTTAAGCTCCGAGTGGATTGTCATGAATACATATTGACAAGTATTGAGACCATTCATATTTATGGTAACTATCATTCAAAACTTAATATAATTTAAATTCCAATGTAGAATGTGAGGAGAGACATTTACAACATTGAATAAATTTTAACCTGGCTTTGAAAAAAGCTTGATCCAATAAATTAAGGACTTCAGTATCTTATGTTTGTAATATGAAAATGTTTAACTGAAAATCACAGTCACTCTCAAAAGTGCCATCAGTCAGACAGTTTCAAGAAAGGTACAGTCATAGCAGTGGAATAATATACAAAAAATTCGATCGACTCATCACAAAAAATGGCAATACACCGCTGGGACAGCTACAACATCTGCTGGTGTATTACATTACTCTAAGGAATAAGGAATAGGAAAATTGTACCAGTTTCAACTTATAAGTGATGACTCTCATAAGGATAGCCATTCTCGACTCCATTGGAGTACGGAGGAGAGGCAATTTTTTCAATAGTTGTGAAACCTCCATTTTCAATACCGGCTTTCATTGGTAAAGGTGCAGATTGGTCCTTCTTCTTTTTGCCAGGCATTACTAACACCAAACCAAACAGAACAGAACCTAAAAGAAAAAGAAAAATACAAATTATTATAAAAATAAACCTCTAAAACTGTTACAGACAGAATACAAAAAAAAAAAAAAAAAAAAAAAAAAAAAAATCAATCCTGATACCAAGACAAGAAAGTTTGAACCTTTTCAAATGATTTTACGATTTTGAATACAGGATTCTTTCCTAAAAATAGAGGATTTAAATGATTCAGATAAATTGGAGACGGTTGGGGTAATAAATCAAGGATGGCGGTAGCCACCTAAGTCTAAACACCTAAGTAAAGTCTTAACACAGAAACAATGGAAGCTGTTTGAAGAAAAAGGTGGCAGCCAACCATAGACACACCTAATTTAGATCACCACCAAAAGAACACCAAATCATTGAAATGTGCGCATCAAAACATCAAAAGATCTGACTTGGTGATCTTAAAACATGATGACTTATGCATTTCTCTGCATACATTGATTTGTCTTCTATTGAAATCAATTCCTTTGAAACTTTGCTGTTTATTCTTCTGATACAACATGGAGCAGATTCAATGGGGCATGATATTCATTCTTGTGACAACTGCAGTTTGTTTTTGGTTCAAGATTTAAATTCGACTTTATCAGTTAAAATTTGAAGAAATTGCTCTCTTAAAAAAATTGTTTTCCAGCAATAAGATCCCTTTCCCTGAACCACTGAACAAACTAAGAACGCCGAATTTAAATTTTGCTCCATAAAATATTAATTTTTAACTTTTAAGAAAAGCTACACAAATTTTTTCTTTGAAATTTCCAATACATTAAATTTTGATAAAATTTACTGGAAAATTCCTGAGAGAAAATTTCCCTGTTTTTGATTACATTTTTCCAGCATAAGAAGAAATTTAATTAAATTGAACCATCAACTCAGGACAGCAACGTTGATTACCTTTTGCACCTGAAAAGCCCTCGAAAAAATAATTAGTTTTACTTACTTATTAAATATGCACCAGCATAGAAAATGGCTAAGGCATCCGCAAAGGAACTGCTTGTTCGGACAGGTTCGACTAGGATGGGCAAGTTACCACCAACCATGTTCATGACGAACAGGAAGACTCCAATTGTCGTTGATCTTACAGATAAAGGAACAACTTCAACCAAGATGGCGAATAAGATTCCAAACCACATTTCAGCTGTAAAGACAAGAGTGAATAAACAGTCAGTGATCAATAAATTCAAATTTTCATGTTGTTTACTTCACCAGAACCAAGATCAAGTACATTCACTTCTCATCGAGAGGCTATGAACTAGAGTACACATGACAAGTGCTGATCATACGAATAACAAATATTTGTGTATTCTTCCTTTGCTAAGTATCTACACTAATTTCAAAAAATATTTAGTTATTTATTCTAATTCCTCTAAGTCTTGAAATTAAAATTTTTTATTCTTTCCTTTTTTCCTCTCTCTGTTTCTCTACTTTCTTCTTTCATTTTTCCTTTTCTTTTTTCTTCTTTTCCTTCTCTTCGTTTGTTTGTTTTTTCTTCTTCTATTTTTTTAATCTCACTCCTTCTTATCTATTGTGATAATTCTTTGTGCTAAATCTAATCTGTTTTTTTCTATTTTGTAAGACTGGACAAACCAAATGAGCGCATGCGCAGAGCTGGTCATCAGTGAGTTTTTATGCTTCGTTAATGGTAAATTTCAAAATAAAATTATGTATTTATCGAAAGAAACCCAGAGAGTTGGAACAAAACGCAACTCACTTGACTGAACCTCCCTGAATCTGTAACTATTCAAATAACTTAAACAGGTTACATTCAATTTTTTACCAGTATGCAGGGAGCTTCGAATACGACAGGTGAAAATAAGACAAAATAGGGGAGAAATATTTAGGAACAAAACCTGAAAGGAAACCTGTGAATTACCTAAATTCCAGGACTGTTAATTCTGTATATTATATGACATATTCTCAATCAGCTTTAAAAGAATATAATACTTCCTTCCCCTCACTTTGTGTCACATTTTTTAAACACAGAATTCTGAATGATGATTGTTCGAAGACATTCAAGAAATTGAATAAGGTGAAAAAATAAGCATTAAAAGTAATTCTTGCTTACCGAATAGATAAGATATAGCCAAAGTGACCATGGCACCGATGGGACCCATGTAGATACTTCCAAAAGCAAATGGAGTTGCGATCAGCTAAAAAATAAAACAAAATATGGGTTACGTTATTACATTATCTGGTTGAGTAGAATCTTTGATAACAGACCTGAAGACAATTTTTCTTGGCAACATAGAAAATGTTCTTAAAGGATCATTGTCAGGCAAAAAATGTATGGCTCAATCTTAGTATTTGGATACAAATTTGATGCTTCAGCTATACAATCGAAAATTCAATCTATTTGACACTGATACTTTTTTTTCGATAATTTTGAAGGGTTTTTTCGTATCCTGGTGAGAATGAAACAAAAATTTCGAGTGGGAAAATAATGTTTGGGATCAAACAGGTAAGATATTTGAAATAAGCAGCAAATTGAAAAACTTCAAATTAATTTGATTCTGCTCTTAGCTCTCTTCAAAAAAAATAACACATTCCTGCTTTAAATAGACATGGTTATTCAACGCAAATTACCTGGCTCACAGCAAGAACTGCTACTCTTGTTTTTGTTCCGTACTTTTCAACAACTTTGTCAGAGATCATTCCTCCAAACACAACACCAATAGCTCCAATAATGAAGGTGACAAAGAATAACATCCAGCTTAAATCCCAGTCAGGGAAGACTTCCCGGTAGAAGAGATCAGCATTGTAAGTAAAGCATAAACCACCTGCACGAGAAAAAGTAAATGATGAGAATAACAATAAATTAATCAGTATTGTTGAAACAGACAGCTGCTCAATCTGCTATGGAGAGGAAAAGATCTTATATCGAGATGGAACAAAGTTTACTGAAAAAAGACACTTTCTTTTCAATTTTTAGGGGTCTCTCTAAGTAAGAATGAATATAGCCATCTTCTTCCCTACTTGGCTACAGTATAGCACCAATTACTTGTACTTTGGTTATCTGTTTATTTGCTTATCAGGCGCACTTTTTTCAACATTGATATGTGGCATATCCAGACATGACACGATGAAAATCGGTGTCTTAGGCAAAAATTGAACGTATGAATGGTTTTTTATAATTTATTTTCCACACATACAATAGAGCATTGGCCAAGGTTATGCTTTCTGGTAACAAACAGAGCTCGAAATGACATTTTTTTGGTGGTCTTGATTATCCATTATTTTCGTCATCCGACGCAGACCTCCACCAAATTGCTTTACTGTACTATTAATTTTAATTTACTTTTTATTCTTTCATAGCAAAAAACCTTAAGGATCACTACCAAGTACTTTGTTAAAACTAGGATTGTGCTAAGCTTTGCTTAGGCTCCACAAAGCTTGAAACATGTCTCCCTTCAATTTTGCTGTGTTTTGCAAAGCAAAATGACAAGAATACAAAACAAAGTAGCATTATGAATTTAATCTGGGAATTAAGATTTTAAGAGCATTTGTAAGCTAGGAACACCAAACGACTGTTACATTCTCTAATTTGCAATTACCTGTGTGCCTGATGGCAGCAGCGACAAACAACATTAAAACTCGAGGTTGAACCATTGCTTTCCATTCTCCTGTCTTGGGTTCCTCCTCTTTCTGTGGTGTTCCATTTACTTGCTCCTCAGCTTTTTCTTCAACTTCTTCTCCGATCATCTTACGTTTTGGCTCAGATAAAGTGAAGGCACAAAATATAGCTACAAGGAAGGCAATTACTCCAGTCAGGTAGTATGGTGTTCTCCAGCCCTAGAACAAAAAAACAAACCCTCAATAAAACAGAAAAATTATGACAAAAGATTAATTCATACTGAATAGGTGCAATGAGTATTGAGTATTCGTTAAGGAACCTATTTTTGGACAATTTAAAAGATTCAGCAAATCATACTGTTATTCAGTTCAAAATATTCTCCTTGCTTTTTTTTCATGAGATCAGATCAGATCGAGATCAACAACATTCACTGAAAAACACTGAATTATTACCATTTTTAAGCTTTTAAACGGACATTTTTTTTAGTTTAAGAATCTATTGTGCAGAGTATTCCAATAAAAATTTCCCAAACTTAATCATTTATAATCTCAATTGATTAATATTGCCTCTATCCCTTGTTTTTGAACTGTTGCTCTGAACAATTTCAGAATAATTGTCATGAATACTTTCTGAGGGTGAAATTGACACTTACCAAATCCCACAGGTCCAATTCAGTGATGTAACGTCCAACCGGGTAAGAAAGACCAATACCAGCATAGATTCCCCAGTTAAAGAGGGAGAGTACAAGGGCTCTCTTTTCCTGAATAAAAAATATATTTGATGTTTAGCACAAAAAATAAACACTCAAATGAGAGTTGAGGGGACATACAAAGAGGAAAAACAAAATAAAGTTCACAGTAAAATGACCACTGCATTGGTTGGAAGCTTTAGCGTGACAAAAAATAAATCTTGAAAGGATATGACTCAAAAATATTTTGATATAAAATCAATACAAAACTCGCAATATAGCACTGATATACATGCTTCACAGTGAACACTCTTTTTTCTAGGGTTAAAATTTGCAGTTCTTGAATGATCAGAGCTATAATTATTACTCTATATGATTTTCTTACATTCCTGATTTTAAAGGTTCTCAAATACTTAAATAACAAATCCCAGTGGCATGCAAGAGCCACTTATTTGCTTCATAGGAAAAAGTAGGTTTGGTATCAAGCTGAGTGTTTACAGATTAAGCAAAATAAATATTTTTAAGATGATGTGGGCTTACCTCATTGAAAATGTCCGAAAGGATTCCAGTGGCCAAGGGATTTACTCCAGCCTCACTGGAACAAAAATTTACAACAGTCAGATAAATTATAATACATGAAGAAAGATTTTTTGACAAATTTCTAATATTATATGCTTGTGTTGGACTTTTACACAAGCATGTGTTTATAAGCCAACATAAAATCATGCCATCTACTATTATCATTCAACAAAATTTTGATTCTCTTCGATTCACATTTCATTTGTTCAAATTTGTGCCTCAAATTTGGTAGCTTCTGAGGAGTCACGGTAATCCATATTTATGTTTATCTTACTTTTGATTTTTTGACAAATTTCTAATATTATATGCTTGTGTTGGACTTTTACACAAGCATGTGTTTATAAGCCAACATAAAATCATGCCATCTACTATTATCATTCAACAAAATTTTGATTCTCTTCGATTTACATTTCATTTGTTCAAATTTGTGCCTCAAATTTGGTAGCTTCTGAGGAGTCACAGTAATCCACATTTATGTTATCTTACTTTTCCAAAGAGGAAAAAAATGCTCTCCTCGGTCACAATCTAGTAATAGTACGACATTCCTGCTTGTAAGGCTGTTGAAAAATTCACTTTTCAGCCCTATTTTCCACAAAAGCAGTGGATAGTTAGTTCTGCTTTGAAGCTTATTTTGTTTCAAAGATTGTAATGATTATTAAATAAGAATCAAGACCAAACAACGCACATCAGTGACCGGCATCTTTTAGAAATCTAACCCTCAATCGAACAAAACCGGTATGGCTGACAATTGGCTTTTCTCATCAGTAATGCATTGCACTGAAACTTCCCACTGCCACTTTGCAGAAGGGTTTCAAAACTTCTCTAAAGGAATGACTGGTCTGTGTGGCTTGAACTTGCTAAAAATTGATGCAATTTGTTTTTAATCCATGCAATTATTTATAAAAAAATATATTGTTGATTTCTAAATAATTGTTTAATAATTACCCGCAGGCGAGGATCATTCTTAAGACTAGCAGTTGCCAGAAAGATGTAGCAGCTCCAGTCAATGCAAAAGATACTCCGATAATAAGAAAACATACTGCACACAGTGCGACTCTGTAACAAATAGGAATTTTGGTTATTAATAAAATATTACATGAAAAAGAAAATTAAAGGCAAGCTCCTACTGCTCTACACTTTGAGATAACCAGTTTCCTCCAAAGTTACACACTCGAGTTCAGTCACGGGAGATCACAAATCCAAGAAATTAGAAGAGATAATTTGAGGCCTAAACTCAGAAATGGTAGCATGATCATATTCTCAAAAACTTTCATGAAGAGCTTTGATCAAATTAAAGTAATTGAACTTTGGATTAAAACTGAATTTTCTTTCATTGGATATGAACTAAGTAAAAGAGTCATAGTAGCTCATATATCTCTCTGAGAAAGACTCCTTTTAATCATTTGAAGTGAGCCGTTTGTAAGCTTTGAGAAGTATTTTGCAACTGTAAAAGCTTTCGCAAGCTGAATTTATGTGCTTCTAAATTCAACAAAAATAGCATGAGATCTCTGAGTAGGGGAAAATCCAGCGTCAGTTTCTTTTGATGTATCACAACAATAGACCGTTTGAAAAACTTCCTTCATAAGTAACATGCAAATCCAGGAGGATCTTGGGAGAACCAGACGTTGGAGTTTTTATATTTATACTTCCTTTCCTGCTGATTTCAAATAGTTAAAACTGACAGCTCAAGTGACAGTCTGGATAAAGATTTGTGATTAATTTTGATGATCAGGGCTGAAATTAACATTTTGCCATCCTGGGCTTGCAAAAATCTGTCATCCCTAAATTTTTTAAGTGGCAGCCTCCTTTTTTTCTTTGAGTACTCCTTGATTTTAGGTATGCGATTTAACCTCAGAACAAAATGAGATTGAAAAGAAAGAAAAAAGATCATCACTTTCAAAATCTACCATTATGCTTCTCAAATATATCATTTCTCTCAAATTTACCACCTAAGGCGTCAGTTCCCAAAGCTCTTGCCTGGGTTCAGCCTTGAAGAAGATTTCCTCTGACTCTTGAGCTTTTTGAGATGAAAACGGAAGGTTTGGTTTTTTAAAATATTTGTCATATACTTAATGTGTCGCATCAGTATTATTTGGACCGACTAAAATGAGATTTTTTCTTACCGGTTATATTTATCAGCTAAAATACCGAAGAAAATCCCAACAATTGAGTAAACTGCGATGAATGAAGGCCCAGCAATAATCTGGTAGTCAACGCCTTTACCATTGTGGGCAAACTCACAGTACCGTGTACCATCATCTAGAGTCAGGTTGGCACATCTGCAACAATAAAAGAGTAAGATTACATTAATTACAAACACAAAATAAACGATTGAAAGACCTGTGTTGAAGGAAAATAGTGACTTCACAATGCAAAAGAAAGTAAAATAAAACTTGTGAGAACAGGAGAGAGAGAGTAGATGACAGCATTATGCAAGTTTTGTACCATGATCAAGTTGCACCACAATGACATTGGCTTTTTAAAAAAAAAAACACACACCCTTTGGCTCCATATAGAAGCTTTTGCTGATAACCCAGTAATTTGATCATATAAGAATCAAAGCGTTCATGGCTTAATATATGAAATGATGCTCCTAGGAATGAATGATGATTGGCTCGTTCCTAGTACTGACAACAAGATAGATGATGATATGACGTTTTCCGCACTATCAAAGGTTGTAAAAATTGTACAAGGAGAATGGATTTCAACTTAAAAATCTCTTACCACAAGGTTTCACATCTCTCACACCACCGGTGCAAGTAGCGGATCAGACGAAAACGAAGTTTCACTTGAGAGAAGAAAACAGAGATCTATTTGTTTCTATCAAAGATTATTTTACCATACAATGCTCTCAGCATAGTAAAATTATGTGAATGTAAATTCATCGCCAAAAAAGAAATGTATGCCAATCGTTGCACCGTCTTTGGTATTTTTGTCCTCGGTTACTTCGTTTCCTGACATGACACTTAAAAGCATACAGCTAATTGAAAGCATGATGACACTTTTGACGTAAATTTTGGTACCACTGGGTGAAATCATCACACGATGATAGAATTTTAAATTTTATGCTTAGTCAGGAGTTAGGTTTAGATTATGCTAAGTATAAAAGGAAAATATGGCTTCGAAATAAACGGGAAAATGAGCAATCACAAGACTATGAATCACAGGGGACAGTAGTCTGTAACAAGCTCCAACAACTTCACCGAGCAATTTCAACACTTCACTGGATCAATATGTGCTTGAGAACAGAGGTTTCTTTCCTGCCATTTTTTTATGTATGTACATGAATTTGGAAGCGGTTCAATGATGTTTATAGAGATATATGAATTTTATACTCTTGGAGAAACAAAAATACACTGAAAAGTAATGGTATGTACTGGAACCTTGCAGGTTACGTAGCCATAAAATAATTCATAAACAACTTCAATTATTATGGATTGCATTTCATTGCAGCTCAGGATATACTTTGGCTTCGAGAAACTTTAAAAATTCAAAAGACTTGTTGACTTATTCACAACACTCACGAGAGGATGATAAGAACTTACAACTTGCTTATCAAAATAACGCGAATGTAAACAAGTCGAAACGTCCACTCCCATTGGTTCCCGCCAATTCAGTGCCGCGCTCGGCAAAAATTACAAATTGACGCGCCATTTTTCAAATAAGCGGGGAGTCCACTGGTTGCGCGCTTACTGAAAATCGGCAACAGGTACGTTGTGAACGGTATGATCATATGTTATGATAAGGTGATGAGAGCTAAATACCAAAAGGGAGTTTCAATTTCCGGTTAGTTTTGACTTGAATTTTTAGATGATCGACGAGGAATTTAAAACATCTCCAAAATCATACAAAGGTTCTTAAAAAAGCACAGATATTAAAAATACATTTTCGCTGTTACCGTAATAGTAATGGTCATCTTATTGAAGGGGCACGAGTGAGTAATCATTTTTTATTCAAATTTGCGGGTGCTCAGAAAGTGTGTGCACTCTGCAGTACAACAACTATTTGAATGAAGTCGTTAACTTGTTGCACAGTTCTCCCTGCAATTTTGTAATTTTCCCTCCTCAAATCGGCAAGCAATCGAAGAATCAAACTTTTCAATTTCTCTGCTGTTAACAGGGTATATTAATGTCACAAAAAAATGTATCATCTTGAGAGGTCTTTGTTTAAAGCCTTCAAAAATGTTTTCTACCTCACACTAATAAGTAAGTAAAATAATATTAGATTCTGATAATCAAGGATTTAGACTTCGGCAATATTTTGAATGCAGAGTTAAATTACAATTGTAATCTCCAAGATAGGTATCAAGACTTGATTGCCTCGAGCTAAAAATTTTTTCCTTCGTATTGTATTCATTAATGTAAATTCTTCCCACGGCTACCAACCAAAATTTCCACATACAATGATAATCACACAGACAGTATATCAAACGTATCAAGACGACTAACGGCTTCACAAATTTTAAAGCTAATGAGAACTTAGCAGCGGCAAATTGAGGTTCCCATTGACTCATTGTCAGTCACAAATCTATGCATCGGCGATGACAGGAGGAAAGGTGTCCGGCTTGTCGACTAGTTTGAAATTGAAGGCGCACCGAACGTCGAGTAACTATCTTTAGCTACATTGACTGGTGTAAGTAGTGTTGCCTACTTCGTGACAATGCAGGCTAAATAAGCATCGATAACTTCTGCAGCAAACCGGACGCGATCCGTGCGAATATTACTCACTGCACACCTACCGTATCAAGTGCAATGAGTGCCAGTGCCCCCCCCCCCCCCCCCCCNGTGCTGGAAGGCGGCGAGGATGACCTTGGTCGTGGAGATAAGTATCCGAGACGGAGAGTCGGCGGCGTTGGCGCAGCGTGGTGGCATGAGCGTGGCGCTATGCTGGCGTATTTAGCAAAAAGCGCATATCTCTAGTGGGATCCCTATGCACATGTGCTGTTTTTGCCGAGCAAAGCAGTATGCTGGCCCGGTGACGCTTAGCCCCGAGACATGCCACAACCGCGAACCGCCGCGCCGCATGCACCGGACCATGCCGTCGTCCTAAAGAAGAACGCCGTATGAGTCTCCAAGTGTTGCCAAACTTCCGTCAATAAATTATGCACTTTCTAGGAAAATTGTTAATATTTACTATAGATTTTTTTAGGAGAATTTTATTCGCATTTTAATCTACATAATCTGCCAATTTCAAGGGATGATATTCACGACTTTCCTCAAAAATAAATGTTTTTCCGCGGTGAATTTGGCAACGCTGGAGAGTTGATACTGTGATTTTCCTTGACACGGGAGCATGGCTCTCGGCCGCCAAAGATGCTCCCAGCCTCACTATATTTACTTCGCATGCTCCTCGCGGTGAATCCGGGCCGGCCGAGTGCACGTACTAGAACTCCTCGACAAATTTTACGACCCTTGATTTATTCCAAGGTATGCGCGGCTTTATTGTGGGTCATTCGCGCTGGTCACAAAATCATGTTTTGATGGTTGGTCCTCATACAACGGTTAGTATTATTCCCAAAGGCCGAGTTTCTCCTTTCAATATACCCCTAAAGCAATGACTATTCTAGAAATGAGTGGTGAAACTATAAAATATTGAAAAGAGGACTCAGAGTAAAATTGAGGCACTGTGCGAAAAGAGCACTTCTCGATTACGGTGGATCAGAATCTCTGTTGCTCGGAGAATTAAGACTTCAATAGGTGATTTTTCCAAAATTCCTTCCATGAAAATTGTGGAATCATGAAGAATATTCAGTAAAATTTTTAGTGAAATAGATGCATTCACTTTCCTTACTATGAATTAAATATTAGAGGAGATTCTGAAACACTGCAACCGAGAAGTGCCCTTTTCGCATCCAGTGCCTCAATTGTTAAAATGTAAACGGAACTTTTTATAATATTTTTAAAAGTAAAATTTGAGTGTAAGAGTTTCAAATAAATCTCAAAATATCTACTATATGGGTTTTTTTTTAACATTTAAACTGATTTGACAAGTGTTGTAAAACACTTTAAGAAATCTGCACTGAAAAAAATAATATGCTGTTTTAGCATCTAGGATGTCAAAAATGTGTCTGGTGATCCCAAGATGCTGCCTTTACTGCCCCCGCAGTTGCATTTGCATTCACAGGATGTAAAATTAACTGCGGGTGCAGTAAAGGCAGCATCTTGGGATCACCAGACACATTTTTGACATCCTAGATGCTAAAACAGCATATTATTTTTTTCGGTGTGGGGGTAGTTTTTTTTTAAAAAAAAATTTATTTAGGTTTAATCGTTGCTATAATCGGTCATTACTTTCAGTGATTATATAATTCTGAGCAGAGTAAGAATTAGTGGTCTTTTTAGTGTCCAAATGATAATCATTTATAGTTTTTCATTGATCTTGACTACAATCTTTACGATTTATTGTAGTAACAATTTGAGGTTCCAAAGGATTGCTAAATTTTTTTCAGAAGTCGTCAATGACTAGGACACGAAAAATTTTAAAACAAAATGTTCAATTTCAAGTCGCAAGAACAAAAGGTGGAGACGGGAGTGCTACGCCCATCAAATTCTGTAAAATGGCTCCTAAACTTTAGGCATTGGAGCGAATTATGTCAAAGCACAACTTGCCGCCCTTTTACAAACTGCCGGGCATTGAAATCTTCCGGTGAATTTCAGGCACTGGTGAAATATTTCCGAGTAGGACGGATTATCTCTCTCGCCTTTTATTTTAATGAAAGCTCTCGGAGAGAAAAAAAGAACCGCTAATTCCGATAAAAAGTTAGCCCGGAGAGCGAAAATGCGGAAAAAGCGTTTCAATGAAACTTGGAGCGCCGGCTGAAGTTGCCCTGTCCGGTTTAAGTCGAGCTCACGCGCGTAACATTGCCGCCTTTATGAGACATGACGCCATAAACATGATGTCGATTCTCAGTATTCCTAGGTCAGGATTTTGAATGCATCGTGGCGTTTGTGTCGGGTATGTTGCCATCCATCGCGAGCCAATCAAAGAGGTTTAAAGTAATTGAGTTTATAGCAATGTTAAAAAGTTAGTAAATTTTTGAAGAATCATACTAAAATATGGACAAACAAATCGAAAGTCATTAAGGCTACTAATTAAGTTGGTTTACATAGGAGTATCAACCTTGGGTTTTGTATATCTCAGGCAATTTCTTAAAAAAAAATTGCAAAAAAAGTTTACAATTAAGTCGATAGGCACTGCCATCTCCGGCGGATCCGATATTATGAAGCAAATGATCTTATTTTCGTAATTTCTTGCTCCACATGTTTGGTATTCCTAATAATGGCTATTATTATTAAAATGTTTGAGCAATTTTTCGTAGAAAAAACGTTCCAGCCTTGCAACATGCTGCTTCCATTATCCAACTCTGTGCTTAATGTGCACGTAATTGACATTGAGAATCTACTGGAATTTTCAAACCACAAATATATACGGTATTTTTACTTGTTTTTCCGTAAAAATTATGGTCATATACCTACATTTGTTTGTTGTCTATAAATAAACCATATTTCTCGGAAAGGAACTAAAAGACATCAACTGTCGCCAAAATTAATCATTATATTTTTAACTGAAGAACGACTACATAGATTCTCTAAAAAATGTCAAAGAAATTGCTTCATTCCAAAGGAAACTCTTTGAAACTTAAAAAAATGGGTGCATATATTCCTTCGTAAACAAATAAACCGTCCATAATAATTTGGCAACCTTTAATGTCACTTAGCTCCTTTTCGAGAAACACGGTCAAAATATGGTGCGATCGGAGCAGCATTGCAAAGTATGCAGGTTGTCTCTGCAAAAAATGTCTCAATTGGATACTAGAGTGGTGCAATTACACTTCCGATTGTCTCTGTAATGTTGCCTCAAAATTAACAAATGCCTATCATTGCAATTACTCGTTCTTTTTTGTGCGGCTAAAATCCCCTGTTATTCGAAAAAAACACCTTAAAAATTTTGTCGCGATTTTTTTTCATTAATGAGCTGGTTTAAATGAAAGCCCGACTCGTGGATCTCACAAAAAATACTGTAATTAGAACTAAATATGGGGGTTGATAAGTCAAGCAAACCAGCGGCCTTTCGTTTTCTTTTGCCTTCGAAACTTAATAAGAAGCATCTTGACTTCACTTGTTCAGATGTATAAGGAACTAAATGGACAGCGTTTATCAAAGAGAAACCAAAGCGATCAGAGTGTTGTAAAAACATTTTCATCTTTATCGGAAAAGAACTGGCCTAGAGCAGGAAATATAATTTGTTTTTCCTGCCACAATTTTGTTCATTTTACAGGAAAACGGCCATGCAACTATTATTATTGCACAAATATTTGGTATTATTTAAACCGAAGAAGAAATTACACGAGTTTAAAGACGCTGTAACCGCATTAGTTTCTCTTCTGCTAAATTCGATCCAACTTACACCCATTCGATCTGTGATCACTGTCGGAGAATTTCCGAGCTGTTTTGGCTTCTCAAATTTTTCTCCAAGAGACCATTTAAGCTATAGTGTTGTCTTTTACATTGAAATCACTGAAATTCCATTGATTAAGGAGCCACAACGAGGCAAACATTAACGATTCAACCAAAAATGGGTAATTAATTCAGTCCGTCATGGATCTAAATAGTGGTTAAATATCTGTGGGGAAACCCAATGGCCCCAAGGCATGCGGGTTGTCCCCCAGATGACCCCCTTCCTCCTGCTCGGGAGATTAACCGAGGCTATCTTTCCGTTCTCTGTCAGGAAGATAGTCTGGGAATTCAAAGTCAATAGCTAAGATTCTTCGAAGATCAAATGACACCAGTTTTTCCCCGAAGTCATGGAAAATTTTGTTCGGAAAGTTTTGTGATCGCGTTTTTATTATTTTATCTGTAATTTGGATTCTCGCTTGACGCATGAGTAGATGGCGTGTCTCATATTTTATCGAACAGGAATATAATAATAAACAATGTTTCCTTGTTACGTGCATCGTATGTCGCGAGTGTGGTGGATTTATTGAGAACATTAACAATGATAATAATAGGAATTTAATTTTCTTCGAAAGAGTTCGTTGCACGTTATTTTTCAAACATTTCGAGAGTGAGGAAGAACTCATGAATGCACGAGCACAAAAATTAGACAGTGACCCTTCTTGGAATGAGAAAATGAGATGTGCAGTAAAACCGGACTGACCAATTTTCGTGCCAATAGAATAGTATCAGTCTATTTTTTAACAGACGGGGGTGAAGAACGAAATGCTCTAAAAACGATACAATGGTTGATACGTCGCAAGCTAACGGTCGAATCAGATTTTAAAGTCAAATGCCTCAGTAGATGGTCAATTGCACTAAACAAATATGGTTCGCTATTCAGTTTACGCTTTTGGAAAAAATACTACGTAAATATTTGGTTAGGTGCAAATGACTTGATTAGGAAATGGCAGACGAATTTTTTCCTTTCTCCTTCCGGGCAAATGGACCAATTTGTTTATGCACTTCATTTCCCCCATTATGATCTCTAGCTTACTAAACAGTTAGAATAACAGTTTCGTCTTCATTGATCAGGGTAGGCAAAAGAAAATCACACATACTGAAATAGTGGCATGCGTCATCACCTCATTGGCTATCGGTTTTTCAGTTCAATGAGGTCCAGCGAACTGGAAAAGAGTTTAAGACTCGTCGGTTTGCCTTCATTTAAGAAGATAGGCAAAAGGGGCCCCTACGTGATGAAATAGTGGTATCCTTATCAAATTTGCCCTTGGTGATTGAGTTTTGCGATGGATCTGGCGTTTTTAAGTCGCAACTTCTGAAATGAGTTCTAAACAAACTTTGACAAATATTTCCGTCGCAAATTACTCTTTTCCTTCAGGTGCCATTCTTCTTCCACTCATAAAAATACACATTCTCCTACACGGAGAAAAAAACTTCCTAAATGGGACCCGAAGTTTTGGTCATATGGATCTCTGAAGTTTTCGGATTGAGCATCTGAACACTTTAGGTCCAGCTGCTGAGGTTTGGATCACACATCTGAAACTTCAGTTCTTACATCTGAAGTACTTCAGATGTAAGAACTGAAGTTTCAGATGTGTGATTCGAACCTTGACAGCTAGACCTAAAGTGTTCAGATGCTCAATCCGAAAACTTCAGAGATCTATATGACCTAAACTTCGGGTCCCACGCACGAGGCTTTTTCTCCGTGTAGGTCAAATTTGTTTACTTTTGGCCCTGAGGGCCCTAGTGAACCAATCAGAGACCATCAAAAGCACAGCAGTTCCCTCTCTGCATTGACCCTTTTGACTCCAAAGACTATTTCGAGACCATTGGACCGTACTCCGACGCCAAGCCCGATCAGGAACGAAAATTCTTTCACGAGTCTGTGAATTCGATTCTGGCAACGGGGTATTCAGAACGCGACCGAGGAGTAAGTTCGGATCCAAGGCAAGGATGAAGTGCGGTCACTTGGGGGTCGACACTGGACAATCGAAGACACTCGACATTCCTAATTAGTCCCGACCCGACCCGACGCGACGCGTCGCGACGCCGCACACTGGCGGGTGGGCGGAAAAAATTCAGGAGGTGGACAATTTTTTTTCCAACCCAGAAAGTAAAAGTATCTGGATGATTTTGTAGCTTATGCTATAGACTATCAAGTTGCAGCATCAATTTTATTTATTCCTCCCTCAATGATTTTTAAACAGACCCTTGTTGGGCATCGAAGAAAATAGCTACTTTTGGTGCTAAAGTGGTCATCGCCTATAAGTCAATAACAAGATTTTGTTTCAAAAACCGACATTATACTCCGTAAGTGCGTCGTCTAAGCTACAAAATCATATATTAACATGCTCATAAAAGTCTCTCATTCGTGCCTATATTGACACTTGAACCTACGTGGAGAAAAATGCGATTTTTTTGTTTTAGGTTTCATTTTAAAAAAAAGCTCCACTGAGCTCCACTTTGAGACTTATATAGGCGTATAGGTAATAGTCTGAAGAGTGAATGGTGAAAAAAGATTTTGCAGATAGCTGCAGGTTTGAAAGCTAGAGAGGTTTTAGTGAGCGTAGGTGCGAGGTGGGAGATGAGAAATTCGGCGCGTCACACCACGGCACG